GGCCCAGGTGAAGATATGGAGGCGCTCCTATGATGTCCCACCACCTCCGATGGAGCCCGACCATCCTTTCTATAGCAACATCAGTAAGGATCGCAGGTATGCAGACCTCACAGAAGATCAGTTACCCTCCTGTGAGAGTCTGAAGGACACAATTGCTAGAGCTCTGCCCTTCTGGAATGAAGAAATAGTTCCCCAGATCAAGGAGGGGAAACGGGTACTGATTGCAGCCCATGGCAACAGCCTCCGGGGCATTGTCAAGCATCTGGAGGGTCTCTCTGAAGAGGCTATCATGGAGCTGAACTTGCCGACTGGTATTCCCATTGTCTATGAATTGGACAAGAATTTGAAACCCATCAAGCCCATGCAGTTCCTGGGGGATGAAGAGACCGTGCGTAAAGCCATGGAAGCTGTGGCTGCCCAGGGGAAGGCCAAGAAGTGAAGGCCAGCGGGCAGGCTGCTGTCCCCAGGAGCACCCTCCCTGCCTGTTGCATCCCTCTACCCCTCCCTCGTGCACATGTCACACTGACCACATCTGTAGACATCTTGAGTTGTAGCTGCAGATGGGGACTAGTGGCTCCCATTTTCCTTTTAGCCCTTTTGTCTCCTGTACCCACTCCCTTCATACATTCTAGTCAGAATTGCACTTCTAGGGCACAGGTTCTCGGTCCAAGCTGTAGAAAGACTCCCCTTATCCAAGAGAGTTGAAAGGTAGTGACGGGCTTTTGCAAGTGCTTTGTTTACTAAAGACTTGAAGGGAGGAACATGCTAAGCTGTGATCAATGAAGAGAAGCAAGAGAGCCTGTCTACCCCCAGCAGCCAGTCCTCTGCTCGTTGGCAGTCAGGCCACTGCCTGGGGGCTCTAGTCATTCCAGTGGCAGATGAATGTAACCTGCATGGTGATGTGACAGCTGTTTCCTCCCTGACCCCAGAGAAGCTGGCTCTAGAAGGTTGGGATGAATCCTGAATTTAGTTTAGGTGTAACATTTACTTTTATATAAAAAAAGAAAGTATAGTATATATAAATAGTACAAAACAATAACCCTTTTGGGGTTTCTTGTGGCGGTTGAAATAGTACCACATATGATCATCAGAAAATAAACCATTCCTCATACCAATATGGGATCAGCTCCTTGACCTCTGAGCGGCAGGAGTACTTCCTGCTGTGTGTTTCCGAATCCCTCCCCGCCTTGTTTTGTGGCAGTGAAATGCCTCTTGGTCCTGTCCAAATGTCTCACTGATTTCTGAATCATGTTCTAGTTGCTTGGTTCTGCCACATGGGTCCAGTGTTCCTTTGAGCATAACTGTACTAAATCCTTTTTCCAGATCAGTATAATAAAGGAGTGATGTGCAGTAGTTTCCTGTGTGATGTGGAAGACCTTATCTTAGGAAGCCTTAGCATTTAACTTGAAATGTCTCTAACTACCCTAGTCCTTGTGTGGTAGTTTGTTTTAGGACACCCAGTCACAACTTCACATGGTTGGTCCAAAAATGGGGTTTTCAAAATGTCAGCCTGCTGGGCTGAGGTAGGGGTGGTAGGCCTCCATTTATGTTGCTCCCTGCAGTTCTTGCTTGGTGCTCCCCTGGTTACTGAATATCTGATTGAAAAGTTAAATTCTGAAACTCCCTTACATCCTCTTAGTAAAGTCTTTTTTTTTTTTTTCCCCCAAAACCGGCTGGCTGTGCCGCATAGGCTGCACAGGCTGGAGTGCAGTGGCGTGATCGCAGCTCACTGCAACCTCCACCTCCCAGGTTGAAGTGATCCTCCCGCCCCAGCCTTCTGAGTAGCTGGGACCACAGGCATATGCCACCATGCCCACTTAATTTCTGTATTTTTAGTAGAGATGGGGTTTTGCCATGTTGCCCAGGATGGTCTTGAATGAGTTTTGGCCTCCCAAAGTGCTGGGATTACAGGTATGAGCCACTGTGCAGGCCTCAGAATTTTTTTTTAAACCCTTTTCTGTTACCAACTTGTAAACTTAATTCATACCTTTGTTTTTGGCTCTTTGAAAATTAAAGATGACCTCAAAAAGTGACTTGGTACAGTGGAAAAGGAGTATAATTACATTATACACATAATCACCTTCTCTCTCCTTTGAAAAGATCACTGGAATACAGGAAAGCCCATAAAGCTGAAGAAAACATTCCCTTTCCCTTCTGGTAGGAGAAAGTAACACCCTCCATCTGTTCAGCTCCTAATGAAGCTCCTCTGTGCCACCCACTGGGTGAGGGATATTATATACGTTAGCTCTAACCTAGACAACCCATGAAAGGACTGGTAAATTCTGTTTACGGAAGAGGAAACAGGTCCAAAAGAAACATAGGTAAAAAGCATCAAATATCACACCACTTGGTACTGGGGTTGGGGTAGATACCAATTCAAACAAATCAAGGTCCTTATTCTAAGATTTAAATACTTTCAAGC